TGGAACGAAAGGGGAGAGGTCGGCGCGGAGATGAAACGAGCGGCGGAAGGAGGGGGCGGTTGGAATTATCATAATATTGGTCATTGCTTGTTCCGCTGGATGAGGAGAAGTAGCTACGCTTCAACCTGGGAATCTTTCACACGCGGGAGAAACGTGTCGCGTGTGGAAACGTTCCTCGCTCGAATGCTGGATGTTGGCTTCTGGCGAAATTGTAACACCCGACTTCCCTTCTCCCTACTGTCGAGGTTCGCGAGGTTTGAATCTTTTTACAAGCTGAAAGAGTGGTTTTTTTTTTTTATTTATCTTTGGTTCCTTGCTTCTTTTTTCTTCTTCTTCTTTTTACAAGTATTATATTTGCAAGGATTGTTTCTTGTTTCTTATTTGGGGATTATTTAGAATAATGACGAATATGTTTAATGTCTCTGATTTAATGATTGTTTTTTGTTAAGATTTTGAAGATTGAATTTAAATAGTTTCGTTCCGAATCTCTTTGAATCTCTATTTCTTTTTCATATTTTATATCTTATTTTTATAGCGAAATATCAAATAATATATAAATTGGTATTTCATTGATTTTTTTTTTACGATATATCGAGATACATTAATGGTAAAGTAAGTTATAGGAATTTTCAATTGGCTTAATTTGATAAAATACGTGAAATCTTGTGTATACCGCGGATTGGAATTGTATTTTAAACTTCTTTTCGCTCGATTCGTTGATTCTCTATTGTTGCGGTTAGCTTCAAAGACCGAGATGAAATGTAACTCGTACAATGCACGGAATGCCATATCAAATGTGGAAAAGATATTTCGTGTTCTTTTCTTTTGCAAAACGTTGCAAATATGCATTGGAACATTGTTACGTGGACGCGAACCCACATTTACCGTGGGCTTCCTCTCTGTGTTATATTTTCTGCCAGTTATTTTGTGCCCTCTTTTCCCGAATCAAATTACTTTTTGTTTTATTAAAATCCTTGAAGTATTTAATTATCTTTTTCGAATTTCATTACACGCGTCATTTCATGGGATAAAATTCCCGTCAACATTTTTTCCCCCCTTCATAAATACAACGCATTAGATCAATTTATTTCTTCAATTTCAACAATAAAAATCTGTTATATCTTAAAAATCTTTTTATAGAAAGAAATTTTCTCCTCTTAAATCATTACCATCCCATCAAGTATCCTCCTCTCATCTCGTCTCGTTTACATTTATAATACGACATAGTAAGAAAAAAAGAAAATAACAAATTCTTCATCTTAAAAAATTTCCTTCCTCTCATTTTCAAACGGAAAAATATCAAATCCTTCTTTTAAAAAAATTCTATCTAATATTATTCAAATATTGCAATTGCCTTTTTACTTCCACCCTTTTTACGCCACCCTTACAAAATATTTATACGTATATTTTTACTTCGACGATTACAATATCGACGAGTTCATCATCAGTATCCAACTACTTCCACTTCTCCGATAAAAGTGGAACAGATCAGAGAATAGAAGGACGAGGAGAAGGCATGAAGGTAATATCTTGTTTACCCGCAACGATGCAGGCGTGTCTGCGCGGGATGGAGGGCGGGGGGAGGAAAGTGAAGGGAGTAGAAAATGAGTGGATTTTCATTGCAGTTTAATCCATGCCCCCACATCCCCCGTCACGCTATTCTAAACGGCGATACTCTCGAAGGCAACTCTTGTCGCTTGGGGTGACGATATTACATTCCTCGATCGTGACGAAAACAGCCAGGCCGAGCCAAGCCTATCTAACCACCCCCAACGCGCGTTTTTTAATTCCTTTCTAACCTTTAGTCTCTTTCTAGATGTTTCTCTCTCTCTTTCTCTCTTTCCCTCTCTCTTGAAAAATTAATCAACAGGAATAAATAAATAAATTAAAAGTTTATCATTAAAAAAGATTGGTATATATAAATTCTTTCGAAATATCAAAGTTACGTTAATAATTGTTATATTTATACTTTCTGTTTTTTTTTTTTTTTTTGCGTGTTTTAAAATTTACATAGACTTTTTCTTTGGAATCTTTTTCCTCTTTTTTTTTTATATTTTATAAAATTAATCACGAAGTTTAACAATATTTCGTTTTTATATAAAGAATATCAAAATAAAATAAATTTTTACCAAATTCCTTTCATTTTCAACTTCTCTTTCAAGATTTTTCTCCATTTCCATCATTCAATTAAGAAGCAATCGAATCTCAAAATTCGAAGGAATTCGATCATCTATTCCGGAAATTCTGATAAATAAGTTAACATTCATCGGATATCAGATCAGAAATATAAAACACGATAATTAGAGAACACGATAAAATCGGTGATAATGATAACGAAACATTTTTCTGGTATAAATGTAGGGAGGAAAAGTAAAGCATACGTGGAACGCGAAAACTGGCGCCTTTTCCTCGATGAAAAGTTATTCCTTCCTTCTCCCATTTCCGCTTCCTCTTTCGCTCATAGGAAGCTTTCATTTCTCGCGATGCGACGAGAAAATTTATGGAACTCGTCGTTCCACGCGTCGACCCGCCGACAATATCGTCGCTCGAATAGACAATTATTGTTACGTTATCTCTACGTTTCGCATTAGATAAATAGAAAACATGAACGATAGTGCATCATAAATCGCACGATAACATTTAGATTCAGGGTCGAGGATTGTGATCAGGAAAATTTCCGCGCAATTTGACATTTTCTTCGTGTCCTCTTCGATAAATGATTAATTCTTTTTTTTTTTTTGAGATATTTTTTTATTTGTTGAATTAATTCAGAGTAGATTTTCTTTCCGTTCATGTTTAATTTAATTTCCTTGATAATATTTTAATTAATAATTTATTCAATTTTGCGCGAAGGTAAATAGATATTTGAGTTGAGATACTTGTTGTTTGCTGTTTGATATTGGATATTATCATGTTTTATAATGATATTATGATACAGACGAGCTATGAGAGAATGATTGTTTTAGTATATCTGATAATAGAAGTTTATTATGCCATTAATATTTGTTGATTCAAAGTTTTTAAAAATGTTTACGAATGAGTTTTTTTTTTAAATTAGATAATTGCGTAAAAGAGATATACAAACATAGTTAAATTTAAAAAAATATAAAATATCAAAAAAAATATAAAATATCACTCTTAAAAGAATATAAAATATCATTCAATGTTACCTCAAAGTATCAGAAGAAACACGTTCAAAATTTTTCGACCAATTTTTATTATCAAACACAAATAAATATATATAAATGAATGCTCAAACATCATCAAACCCATCGCAAAATCCGGCTAAAAAAGAAAATCCATTAAAATGTAATGAACAAAAGAAGAATACTTTGAAAATTGAATTTACAACTTTACTTTAACTTTGTTCGAACCATGTCCATCTCAAACCGAAACAAACAGAAAAACGATAGTCGCTCGACTTTCGAGCATCGTAGATACTCTGATCGGTTTTGAAGCGGGAAGAAAAGAGCCGGCGGCGTGTTCATCGTTGTCACGATCGTGGTTCCTCGGCCGTGTACACCCCTTTAATCGTTCGTCAAGTGTGTGTGCATTCGGAATGTAATATATCCTGGCCAACACGTGGCGGTCACGTGCCGCCAAGTGTTTGTTTCGGTTTGCATTGTCGCCACGGATACGTGGCGCGGAGGTGTGGTCCTCGTGGACCTTTACAGAAATGGGAAGAGAGGCGATGATCGTCCCTTTTCATTATTCCACGCTCGTTCGAGTAAATAACGTGCCGGTAGTCGACAATTAGAAACGATGGGAAAGAGATTCGTTACACGGCATTGAACTAATAGCGAATCGATCGGGGATATACCTGCTGCGATGGGGGATGAATCGTTGGATGAATCTTTTCTTTTGGACGTTTCTTTGATTCCATGAGAATATAGTAGATGGAGAATATGGCTGGGCTTTTGAATATTCTTAGATTAATACATGGAAATTGATTCTTTTGGTAAGAGATTTTGGTGTGGATAAGTTTGAACGAGTTTGGTGAAATTTGAAGATAGATTTGAATATTGGAATGTTAATTGTTAGAAGGGATAATTTTTTTTAATTCTTTGATAGAAATTTTAGTACGAGTTTGAATAAGTTTGATGGAATTTGACATTTTTGTACGTATGTTGTAAAATTGAAAAATTAGTTAATCTTCTGGTTGATTATCAGATTGATGAAAGTGAGTTTAATAAAATTTGAAAATGATTTGATTGGCAAATTGGTTTTAATAAAGATAATAATCTCTTGTTTGAATTTGGATTGGACGTATTGTCGAAAGCGGATTTTATTAGATTTTTTTACGATATTAAAATAAATGTAACATTGTATTGTAATTTATGTAGTGATATTGTAAATATGTGATGTTTCGTTTGGAATTCCTCAGTAATGAATATCGATCAAATTCAAAAGGTAAAATACAAAAGTCATTCAAAGCGCGTAACACGTGTTTTTTTAATTTTCAATTAAAAAAGATATATTTCTCTTCAATACAGAGTAAAAATGCATTGAAAATATATTTTTTTTATTATTATTCTAGCCCATAAAAAAATCTGCAAAATAAAGTTTTATCTTTACATATCTTTTATTTTATTCCTCTGAAAAATGTGATTCATTTTTTTTTTTGAAAATCTATTGAATCATTCCTTAAATTTTCGTAATTATACATATAAATTTACTCGTTTCAATTATTTTCATCACATTATTTGATATATTTATTATTATCTGAAATTTATCAATTCTACCATACAACACATATTAAATTATTTTTCACCACTTGATTATTTTTTTGAAATAAAAATATTTTTTTTCTATAATTAATTTACAAAAAAAAATATTTTACACATATTCTTTATAATGAACAATTTTTTCGTTGCACTTATTTTCTATTTTTCAAGATATCTCGTAAAATACATGTTTAACTCTTCACATTACCAATAAAAAATAATAATGGCTTAAATATTTTTTTCCAATTAATCTATCATCAAAGAAAAAAAAAAGAATAAATCTTTTATACTTAACAGTACTTTATTGTTGACATTATTACACGTTATTATAAATCTATCATCTTGACACGTATAATACTTACTAAATCTACAGAGACAAGTGTTAACGATAACCTATAACTAAACATACATTATAGCATCGGTACTTATTTTAGTAAAGGAACAAACAGACGTACCGCGTTACTTTCGTCACAATATCTTAACACACGACAGCTCAGAGTCGAGACGAGATTATTAAAATATACACCGTTCGAATAATAATCCTGAATCATTTCTCAGAACTATTCCTATCTTTCTCTCCTCTCTCATTTTCCTTTTCTCCTCTTCGTTTCTCTCTCTCTCTCTCTCTCTCTCTCTCTCTCTCTCTCTCTCTCTCTTTTTTACACAAAAAAATGAACAACACTCGCGATCGCATATATTTATACAATACATTTAATTTAACTTAATATTAAAAATCTCTACACCTCTAAGTCGATCAGCCGTGAATTTATGCAAGTATAAAAGACTATCAAGTTTATATATCGTTTTGTACCCAAACATTCGACATTAAGGTTTAGAATCGGTATTTTTCCATCGGTTCCATCCGATGATTATTATTATGCATTTCTTTCATCTGACGCAGATCGAACGGAATCTATGAAATCTCGTGGAATTTCCGCTCGTGCTTGTTGAATGCTTAACCCTCTGCAATGTTATATGATTTGTGTATACACATCTGTACACATATGAAATTTTTATTAATAATTTCAAAGTCTTTTTCTTAATCATTTTCAAAATCACATCAAGTCTCTTCTGCTACATTATTTTCCTACTATATAATAATATTTTATTGCATGAGTCCAATTTTTTTTTTATTTTGATGTTCGAACAATTCAAAAATTTTGAAAAAAAATATTGATCACGTATTAATATTATTCAATGAAATTTTTATTCTCATGCATTATTATAGAGAGTTAATGAAGTATAAAATCAGAGTATATAATTCGATAAAGATTACAATTAGACAACAGAGATATTATAATCAATTAGACATTTTGAATTTCGATTACAGAGGATTAAAGCATTTACAATGGAATACGTTCTCAATCAAAAAAATTTTTCCAATAATTGCTAAAGAATTTTATCTGGAATGCGTGTACAAAAAATTTGGACTTTAAATCTCTGATAATTGGAGAAATTTAAATCGAACGTGTTGAATGCAAAAATAAGATTTTATTTATCGCGGAATTGTGCCGTGGAAGATAATGAATTTGTTACAAGGGAAGGCATTCTATATTTTTTTCATTTTTTTTTATTCTTCTTGTATTTGTTATTTTCGATTTCAATACGTGAAAGATTTATTTTTCTAAAATAAGCCGCCATTCCTCTATTAGACAATGATTTTCGTTATCGTGACGTGCATCATTCACATCTTGAAAACACATTTGTACCGATTATGTAATTAGTAGTTCTACATAAACGAGAACGATAACGAAAATAAGTGCAAATTCTGGTTGCCTTGAAGCGAATAGAAAATACGAACATCTTGTTGGTTTTAGTTTAACGTGTCACGTGCCGTCCAGGTCACACGTACTCCATTTTTATTTAGCAAAAAGGATTTTTCGAATATTTTATGAGTATTCCAACGAAACATGAGAAAAATACGTGACAATATAAAGAATATTGATAAAATGATATTTTTGTAATTGAGTATTTTTTGTATTGAGTAAGTTTCTCGAATATTTTCAAATTCTCGAATAATAATTTCTAAGCGAGGCCTGGATTTAACAAATACTTGAATATTATTTTTCAGTATTTTTAAATATTTAAGAATATAATTTTTGGATACTTTTATTTTTTTATATTATTGAGTATTATTGAGTATTTGAATAACTTTGAATATTTTTTAATATTAGTTATAAATATTATGGGATATAATATTATTAAATTTTGGATTGTGCACTTGAATACTTCATTTCTGAGTGTATTTTAAATATTTTTGAATAATATTCTCTCCTGAATTAATAATATTTTTAAATCTTTTCTATTATTCATAAAACTGAGTTTGTTCAAGTACTTAAGTATCTTTCAATACCATTGAGTCTTATTTCTAAGTACTCTTGAAGTACTAATCAATTTTTTCTTTTTTTTTTTTATATAATCTTTTAAAAACTTATATTATATAACTTTTAATTTTTTTAATTACAAAATGATTTCTATTTTCCACGGCACCAAACGCGTTAAATAATAATGCAAACATATTAATAAAAAAAATTATTCAAATTATTCACCCGCATTCCAAAAATTAAAACGCGTAGCAATATATTTTTATGAAACATTTTTTATCTCTCTTTTTTTTTTTTTTTTTTTCATTCAACGAAAATTAGATCCGACCCGATTCGTTGCACAAACAATAGCAATAACTCTTATCTAGCAATTGTACAATACGAGGAAAATTCACTAGCGGCTTATGTATATCTGTACATGTGTGGATTGACACACATATATTCGTCATGGATGCGTATCTTCACAGGGATTAATTGTAAATTATTCCATTCTCTCTTCTCGTAGATCCCTGCACATATGTGTATACACGCTTGAAAACGCTTAGAATAGACTCGAATGCCGTGTCCGTGTTAAAAGTCGTCGACGAGCTTCGTCAGACTTTCGTTTCGCATTTTTTTTTTTTTATTTCTCATTTACGTGTAATTGTGCTCTTTTTTTCTTTTTTTTTTCTTTTCTTTTTTTCAGATCTTTTATCGAGTTCGAAACAGAAAAACGAGAAAAAAATTTTTTAAAATATTTATGCCCGTTGTGATTGCAAAATTAAAATTGCATCTGTAATAATATCAATTGATTTAATAAATAGAAAAAAAATTGATAATACTAACAATATAATGATAATATTCAAACAAAATTGTAAATTGTTACGTATTTTCTTGATCTTTGATTTTACACGATATAATTAATTCTCAAAATTAAAATTTTATTATCCATTATCGAAATTGAGATTACGCACTTTATACATTGTTCAAGATATTAATAATAAAATCATAATTCAGAATCATTTCAACAATTAAACCAGTCGTAAAAGAAGAAATATACAAACGATAAAAATAACATAATAAAAAGATCAACTCCATCAAGCCATTTAAAACCTCAAAACGTCAAAGCGCGAAGTACACTAGAACTAATCTTCTAATTATTAAATTGATGGAAAATAAATGGCTAAATAAATTATATCGTAAAGATAATTATCTTTACTATTTTTGATATCGATTATTTTTTAATCATAAGAGACAAATTTTGTGAAATGTTACTTACGATAAAAATTTTTCTATATTTCTCTTTTTCCTCTTCGTTTCTGTTCTCAATCAAGAACGATGAATAGTTTTTCCATTTTTTTTTTAAATTAACCATTCCAAATTTTCCAACTAAAATCTAAAATCTCGAACAATATATCAAGTCGTTTCAAAATTTCACCGTTTCAAAAGATCGTAACTATAAATAAATAAAACAAGGAAACAAAATGGATTCCATTGCAAGCTCGCGCCATTCGTCTTCAAATTTCGTGAGGCGAACAAAATGAATAAAAACCAATAAGACGAAATATCTTGTTGCAGGATCATCCATTCACGCGTGTCCCGTCCCCTCGCTATCAAAACATCCCCTTACCCCCCATACGTATACATACGTGTTCCGATATCGTGGAACCCGAATGTTCTTATGTTTTTTTTCTTTCTTTCTTTCTTTTTTTTTTTTTTTTTTTTTTTTTAATCTTTTTCCACGTACAACGTCTATGTACACTGAAACGTCTACTTGACCGAAAATCCGGCCGAGCTTTACATTTAAATCCGATGAAGAGAACTGACCTCCCCTTCTCCATCGTTTCTCCGCCACCCTCTCTGTCCCTTTCACTCGCGCGCATTCTCTCCTTTCCTCTCACTCGCAAACAATAAAAAGCTGAGCAAAGATTTGTTCGGGATGTGTGTGCGTATGTATGTCTTTATGCGTATGTATAAATTTGCGTATATGTACGTATGTGTGTGTATTGCGTGTATATTTACAGTGGCGTATATATTAATCGATCGTTTACAAAACGAGGCAACACGCGCAAAAAAGCTCTATTCTTTTCCTTGCTAAGAATGGAAGAAAAATAACGTGGGGGGGAGGGATTGGAAAATTATTAAGTTCGATTCGTCGAGAGGAATCGATTGTTGGAGATGATAGCAGCTAAGGATGATCAGTTCGACACAACGAAGGGTTGCTTTTTTTCTTCTTCTTCTTCTCCTTCTTTTTCTTCTTCTTCTTCCTCTTCTTCCTCTTCTCCCACTTAAACCCAACCACTACACTATTGCACTACACCTTTTTACAATTACTCGACTCCTCGTCGCGTCTCTTTTCTTCTCCTTTTCTCCTCCTCCTCCTCCTCCGTTTCTTCGTCGTTCTATACACTTAATCGAAGAATCGAAATTTTTTTTCTTTGGGCCCGCTCCATCGCCCCTATCCTTTTCATCGTTCTTCCTCATTTCCTCAAACTAGTCACTTCCTCTTTTCTTTCTTCCTTTTTTTTCTCCTTTCCCCGTGATCTCTGGAAACCGGGTGATTTTCACCAGTACATCCAGCTCCCTCGTTCACCCTCCTCATCTTTCTTCCTTCGATTCAATCCTTTCGATCCCCTCTCTCTCTTCCTTCTCATCTCGGATCCTCCAAAAAAAAAAGAAGTTTTCGAACCTCTTTCCTCGTTCGTTTGGAAAAACCGAGATTCCCCCAGTTTTTCTTTCCTTTTTTTTTCGACGTAAGACATCCCCCGGAAGGAAATCCGCAACAGGATCCTCTAAACCAGAGGGGAGAACGCCGACGCCTGGCTCCTGATCTCCCTGTGCTCCGACGGGCTTAGATCCAGCAAACCGCCGCAATTCTGATCGTTGGCCACCTGTTTACCTATCAGAGCGTCGATACTGAAGTTCCTCTTCTTCTCGGCAGGCGGATGTCCGCTCGGTATCGCGGTGGTCCTCGTCGGGGCGGGATCGATCTGCCTGATCGGGGGTGCGGTGATCGGCACAGGTTTGTACAAGGGTGGCGGCGGTTCCAGGAAGCCGCCGAGCTTCAGTGCCTCCAAGGTCGAGGGCGAGAAGTCGAGCAGGGGGAGGCCGGGCGGCGGGGACAGGTACGCGGCGCTTGGATAGGCGAGTGCCCCGGGATGACCGCCACCCCCGCCCGGACAGGGCCCTCGGTCCCCGCAAATGGCGAACGTGGCCATGATCGCTCTGTCTCTTAGCACGTAGTGCGGCGGGGGCCTCTTGTACCTCTTCCTACGGCGCAGGAAGCTCCCGTTGTCGAACATGTCCTCGGCCAGGGGATCCAACGTCCAGTAATTACCTTTGCCCGGGTTGCCCGGCTCCCTTGGTATCTTGATGAAGCAGTCGTTCAACGACAAATTGTGTCTGATCGAGTTCTGCCATGCAGGGAACTTGTCGTGGTAGTAAGGGAATCGCGACATGATGAACTCGCATATACCGCTCAACGTCAACTTCTTCTGGGGCGATTGGAGGATAGCCATTGTGATCAGGGCTATGTAGGAGTAGGGGGGTTTGATCAGGGACGAGGACATCTTGTCGTTCCCGTAGGAGGATGGAGCCTGGCCGGACGCGTTGCTCTTTTGCTGCCCGTTCCCGCCCGACATCATCGAGTAGCTCTTCTTGCTGCGACTCCCCCCACGGTTACGGGAGGACGTGGTGGTCGGTGGAACGGGCGAGCTTGGTATTATGGGGCTTGACGACGACTGGGACGGCGACAGGTCGTTCTTGTCCAAACTCACCGGGTCCACGATCATGCTGCTGCTGTCGGAATCTCGGTCGCTGTCCGCGCACCCGTCGCACGACAGGTTCGACATCATCATCCCACGCGGTTCCATCGTGATCGCTTCATGGGCACAACTCGACGCACGTTCGATCTCTTCTCGAGGCTCTCGCTTTCCTCAAATTCCTCCTCATTCCGATATATCCATTCCTCACGAATAAACGGATGTAATATCGTCTCTCGATTTTCGATGAGGAGGAAATGTGTTAATCGAAGTCGATGTTGAACGTTTGAAAGCAACGGAACGAGATTACGCGAGAAGAGTGCTCGTCTTCCGACATTATTTTCACGAGGCAACTGTCACGAGCACACGAATGCTCCGCGCGAATTTCAGCGCTATCTTACGCTAATAGTTTTGTTTCCACAACGATAACGAGGGTTTTTTTTCTTCCTCCTCCTCCTCCTCTTCTTCTTCTTCTTCTTCTTCTTCTTCCCTCGTTCCGTCACTCGACGAGGCCTGTATCTCAAGGATGACGGCTCGCGGTGACGCACTCCACTTTATCGCCGACAATCATCTCTCTCTTACGGAATCTTGGTTAATCATCACGATTTCCTCTCATGCTCTCTTATCGATCACTCCCTCCTCCTCGATCTATCGTTAACAATCTATGATCGTTGATTAAACTCACTTCTTCTCCCCTCCCATCGAAATAATTCTCCGAACGAACGAATGAACGAATGAGAAAAGGAACAAAAAAAAAAAAAAAAGAGGAAGAAGAAATCCACTGTCCACACACGAGAAAGCAACGTGACGATCACGATGAAAGTGAAACGAACGAAAAACAAAGCGTCGAATTATTTATTTAATCTCGATCAATCCGAACGATATATTATTATTCCCTCGCAATGACTCTTTCGACGCGAAGAGAAAAAAAATCTTTTCGAGATCGCACCAAGGATATATACGGTGTCAAGTCCATGGGGATCGCAATTTCCGCGGCCGGCCTACTCTTCTGTAAAGCTTGCGAAAATGCGTGGTGTCGAAAGCTTACGCGAGGCGCGATTCGCGAGTGGCCGCAGCTCCCGCGCCGTTGATGGACCGTCTACGAGAGGCGAGATCGTGGGCCGAATTGATTCAGCCCAAGTTGACTGCTTTCGTCCTAACATGGGCGGACCGATGGGCGGGCATTTCGAGCCACCCCTCGCGCGCCAAGGGTACGTACGAAGGGGTGGCTGTGTCTCTCCCTGCTCCCTATCCCCCTCCCCTCCACTCCACCCGGTGTTCCGGCCGGATCCGACCGCGCGGTACGCTTCCTCCTCAGGAGGGAGGAAGAGGAGTCGTTGTCGTCACCGCGAAAGCGGAGGAGAAAGGCCCGGAGGGGACGTCGGAGTTAGGAAAATAGCGGGATAGATAAAGGGACTTTGAGAGGAGAGGAGCGGGATAGGGTGGGGTGAGGAGGGAGGAGGGGAAGGGAGGGGAAGGGCGAAATTGTAACACTCGACGGGGGCTGCTTTGCTTTGAGCGGCACGGCAAAAGGACCAGGCGTTACGTGCTAATAGAACCTGTGCAGACGGCGCGGGGGGAGGGAAGGAGGAGGGGGAGGGAGGGGGAAGGGGGAAGGGGTGAGATCTGTTCGATACCCGGAATGTATCTCGTCCACCTGTGCGCAATTTCCTGTGTCTTCGGCCTTGTTGCCTTTGCTGGGGATTATGGGGATTTGGAATATATTTTGGCTGGTAGGAGGATATAGGTAGAGGGACGTATTTCCTTTTCGGGGGAATTTCGGAGGAGGAGAGATCGAGTTTTTTTTCGGGGATTAGTTTCGGGAATATTGTTGAATCGATGCAAGATTGATTAGGATTGAAATGAGCAATAATATTATTCGTTTCTCGTCAAATTTTTGGTAGATATCTTCGATCGTTCGTAAAAATTCCAAATTCCCTTGCCGATCGGTGGAAACCGAAAGATTTTGGAAAATATTCGTTCCCAAACGAGAAAGAGAAAGATTCGGAAAAAAAGAATAAAGAAAAATTGTCAAATTCGCGGATGATCAAAATTGACACCGCTTGTGTAGGCGTGCAGGTCGCGAGGTTTAAGGTCCTTGGATTTGCAGTTTCGAAATGGAGAACGATCGGATCCCCGTAGTATCGCCAACAGAGCGAGCCGAGCTGCACGCATCACGAGTTAACTTCCCTCAGGCAGCTCAAATAGAATCTGTATTACGCCGCGGTGGTACATAGAGAGTTGGACGAGGACAGAAACTGCGGGAACGTATTGGATGGGAGGAAGATGGCATCGATAGTCGAGAGAGCGAGCGAGACAGAGGGCACGATAGACACGGACCACGATAAAGGTGAGAAGGAGAGGGTGCAGGGTGGCGGCAGAGAGGGTGAACGAGAAAGAGAGAGAGAGAATGAACGATGGATATCTGTCGCTGTTGAACGAAGAGGATCGACACGGGGTCGAAACGAGGGGGACAAAGATGGGTAGAGAATGGTACAGACGTATGCGTTATCTACCTGAGCGCACTATCGGTTCACAGAGCCGAGCAGAGAGCGAATATTGTGTTTACCCATACGCACGGCTTTGCGATGCAAATAATCTGGTATTATTGCACTTACTCCGCGTACCGGCGAGGTTCTTCCGTGACTGGCACAGCTTCCAACCCTTCTTTCCTTCCACGCCATCCCTTGGCCTCGAGTATTTATTTGCGCGATACACGCGCGTTATATACGCGTATCCACCGTTGTATCGAGGAGTCGGTGTATCCTGTTATTGCTGCTTTTTCCTCGAGTCTCGATTATTTACGGCAAAACGTTTTTCAGAATCTGTATCGATGAAGGAACTTGGATATTGCCCGCTTTGCTTTTCGAGGGGTGCCGGTTCTTTTCGTGCCCGTTTGTTTGGATAATCGACGATTTTCCAGCGATTTTGAGAAAGTTAGAATATCGTTAAAATTAATTTTTAACAGGAGAAATCATTCGGGTAGAATTTTTATTATTATATAAATGAAAAAATATTTCAAGTTGTAATATGAAACGTAAAATAAGTGGAAAAGGATATTGTGTCGTCAGACACGTCGTAGAATTGGGCTTTCAATGCCTACAATGAATACAGAATTTTTTAAAAATAAAATTGTTTGTGGATTTGTAATTAATTTAAATTAATTTTAAATTAATTATAAAATTGTTTTATTTTAACTTATATATGCATACTTGGTTTTTGAATATAATTGGAACCAATTATATCATTGTCCAATAAATTTAATATCTAAAGAAAATCAACTTTTGTACAATAGATCTTATTTTTGATCATCAAGAAAACACGTATCTCGATTTGAATAAAAAAGTGACATATTTCGCCATTTTTTTTCATCTAGTCATACGAAAATTCTTCTATACAAAATTTAATTTATTAAATTTACTTATTAAAAATAATCATTGCATAAAATAAAAACTCCAAATAAATTCATCAACGTAAAAATTCTCTTTGCGCCTATTATATATCATCCAGGATGGTGAATCACAGACACTTCCTGTTTATCGTCGAGCACCTCCAAGATTCCCTCGACTGCTCGTTCGAGGAGAAAAGTATCGTTGCCATGAAAGAGGAAGATATCTCTTCCTTTTTTTTTTTCGTGTCTTCCGCTGATTCAGCGATTACCACATTAATCTCAAGTTCCCGCCAGGTTAGGCTAGGTCGACGGACAGAGGAAGAGACGACCGGCATACCCGGCCATAGAAAACCCTTAGGCGTTCGCCATTCACTTCGCGACGGATTGCGGATTCCATGAGTTCCACTATTCGATTCGATTGCTTCTTATCCATCGGCTCTCGCTCGCTCTCTCACGCCACGCGTATTTACCTCTACTGATTTCTTCCCTCTCGATCTCCTTTCTGGTAAATCTGTCGAGGGTGTCCCTCCGACTTATTGCAACCCCACTTTTTCTTCCTCCTACAAAACTCTTAAATGATTTTGTTGATCGAATACCAATAAATGATTCTCTAACGAAGATTTGTCTTTGATTTTATTTTATCTTTCTTTTTTTTCTAATCTTGTCAAAGTGAAAGATTCTTAGAGATTATAAAAAAAAAAAATAAAAAAGCTCAGAAAATTCTTCTAAAACTTTATAAACTTTGCTTTCAACAAACAATCTCCCGAAACCTTTCTCGAATCATCACAATAATCTCGTGCTCGTCAACTTTAAGTTTGAAGAACAAAGCTCTAGCTACCTTAAAGATTCCATCAAAGTGTAAAACGTCGCGTGATCGATCTCAAGGAAAAGAACCACAAGTAGTCGAGCCGTGAGATTTGAAGGAATGGTCTACAGACGCCCGAGCGGCCAAAAGATACCCGAGCGAATCTAAAAAAAGAAAAAAGGTAAAGGAAGAGAAACGGTATATAAAAAAAAAAAGGGCGGAGTCGGTAAAACGAGAGCGATGAAAGTGTTTATGGGCAAAGGAGAAGAAAGAGAGAGAGAGGAGAGGGAGAGGGAGAAAAGGGACTGGCCGCTTTGGATGACTCGTCGACTTTCGACGAAAAGCCGGCAAGATTATGCCGCCATCTTGGATGTTGGTAAATATCTCGTGGCAGAAGAGGCTGTCGAGTAAGGGATCCCGGAGAGAGTATGGGCGGAGAAGTAAAGCTGCCGCTCTACCACTACTACCAGAATTTCATCCTTGCCAAGGTAACGGTAGTTGCGCTGTAATCGTTGCAACTGGAAGACGAGATGGAGAGAGGGAAGACGACGGCAAGGAAGCGAGAAAAGAATCGGAGAAGAAGCGAAGGAGAGGAAAAAAATATGGAAGGAGACCACGGTTAATGGTCGTTCGTGTTGGTGATGCGTGAGAAAAAGGGAGAAAAGAGAGAAAGAGAGAGAGAGAGAAAAGAAGAAGAAAAAAGAAAGAAGAAGAAGAAGAAGAAGAAGAAGAAGAAGATGGTCGCTTCTTCTTTCTTTGCTGGTGGAGGGGGCAGGGTAAGAGTGGAGGGATAAAGAAAAAAAGGTAAAGAAGTGCGAGAGGTCTTCGGCATAGAAGGCGAATATCCCCCGCTACAAAGAATACTGTCGGCTTTGCACCTTTTTCCAAGACACCGTTTTTCCCGCCAGTAACTCTCTATCTTTTTTTTTCTTTTTTCTTTCTTTTTTTTTTCTTCTTTTTTCCTCCCCCCATCCCCTTATGCCTACCCCCTTATGTCGTTCCTTTTTACCACGTCGTGCTCACCACCTCGAGAACACCACTCCTACGAGCCTCTGATCCTCTCTCTGTTTCGCGACAAGCCTCCTTCGTTCTTACTTTCCTCCCCTTTATCTATCCTTCTCTCCCTCTTTACACTCTTACCCCTTTTATAGTTCGTCTCTCCCTCTTCCAACTTTTTTTTTGCTTCTCTCTTTCTTACGTTTTCTTCTTTTTCTTTCTTTTTTCCATTTCTTTTTCTTCATTTTCTTTCTCTCTCTCTCTCTCTCTCTCTTTCTCTCTCTCTCCCTTTCCCTCTCCCTCTTTCTTTGTACTCCTTTTTTCGGTCGGTCCGTCTGTCCTCGTGTACGCGGTTAAAGAGAACAGCCATTTACTTACGCGATTCAGAGACGGCAAACTGAAGTTTCCTCCCACTCTTGTGAAAGAAGCACGGATTTTCTCTTTCTCTTCGGGCAACCGTAATCCCGGAATATTCCACCGCGATAGGAGAGGAGTTTTACAGGAGATGGAAACGTGTTTCGTATACAATTTCCTTGGACGCTCGTTAGGAGAAGGTTCTCTTATAAAGAAAAAGGGAGACCTGTTTCTGGGGTAAGAACTTGTAC